GTTGGCAAATTAGTAGCCTATGGGATGTTTGCTCAATATGTAGTAGCTTAATATTTTAAAAATTAGTTTCCAACATTAAGAAATTGAGCCATTTCCCATAAAACTATGGCTATATGTTCACTCTTAAAAACGCAGTAAAGGTTGGTTATACTCTGTGGAGTTGGTTCTGACTCATAGTGACCCTGTATAGAATATCCGAGACTGTAAATCTTTACCGGAGCAGAAAAGTGAGTTTCAAACTGCTGTCCTTGAGGTTAGCAGCTCAATTCGTAATCACTACGCTACACTAGGTCTTGCAATACTAGAGATATGACTCTGACAGGACACTAATTTGTTGAGGTTTGTTAGCAGCTACCACCTGGTGTGGCAGTTGGTAAGGTTGGCAGCTTTAACTTGGAAACCCTGTATAGAGTCGCTATGAGTCAGAACCCACAGGAGGGCACTTAACAACCACCATCACCACCACCACCGAATCCGGCTGCAAACTGCAAGGTCAGCATTTGAAACTACCAACTGTTCAGAGGGAGAAAGATGAGGTGTTCTGCTCCCGTTAAAGATTTACAGCCTCGGAAACCCTGTACAGTGTCGCTATGAGTCGCTCGTTGAGTCACAACCAACTCCACAGCACATAACCACCACCACCTTCAAAAAAAGCATTTCCTGTCTGCCAGTCTCCACCCACCCATTTCATCTGTCTGCTGATCCCCAACTCCCATTGTCCCAGAAGGCTAGTAGTTACATTGTCAGCAATTTGACAGATGAAAAATAGTTTGCTGTGGAGTAACTTGCATTTCTTTGAGGAAAATTGAGTACCTTTTCTAGTGCTTACTGGCCATTGGTGCGTTTGTGTGTGTGTGTGTTGTTGTTGTTGTTAAGTGCCATTGATTCAGTTCCAGCTCATAGCGACCTGTATAAGGTTTCTGAGGAACAGCTGGTGAATTTGAGCCACTGACCTGGCAATTCAAACCGACCTTGGGGTTTGTCTAGTGCTTATCCTTCAGGGCCACACCAGACTCCACATATATATATATATATATATGTATATATATATATATATAAAACACATATATATATATTTATATTTATATATAACATACAGGAGTCCTGGTGTGGAGCTGTGGGTTAATGCGCCAGACTGCTAAGCCATTTGAACTGCAAGGTCAGCAGTTCAAGCTCACCAGTTGCTCCTTGGAAACCCTATACAGGGTCACTATGGGTCAGAACCCACTCAATGGCACTTAACAACAACAATATACAACCCCCAACCCAGGATGTTGTTGTTGTTAAGTGTCACTGAGTTGGTTCCAACTCATAGCAATCCTGTTTAGGGTTTTGAAGCAGCCGCTGGTGGGTTTGAACCGCCAACCCTGTTGTTAGTAGTCCGATGCTTATCCTACATTGCCATACCAGAACTCCCCCAGCCCAGGATATACAGATATATAAGTGAATCATTCATATTTTTATTTAAATACTTTTATATTATCTCTTTAATGTTTAAAGCTTGGATCTATTCAAAATTTATTTGGTATAACGAAGACTTTTTTTCTCTCACATGGCTAATCTGGCTATTTTTTAAAATAGAAAACTTCCAACAAATACAATTTATAGAACTGGATCTACAAATTGGGTCACTGGTTGTTTTGACCCTCTGAGACTCCAGAGCTGGTGGAAAATTATACTCCCTGTATGGTGCCAGACAGGGCAACCCTAATCTCCTGCCAAATCCTAAGGTTTTTGAAGATAGCATTAGAGTAGAGACAAGGTCACCTTAGCCAACATGATTGCAGGGAAGGGTGAGGCTGAAACCTCAGAACTGGTTGTCATAACTTTATTTCACAACAGTCTCCACACAGGGTCAACTGTTCTAGCCAGAAAGTCTGCCTTTGTCCCTTGTCTTGTGTAATGTGTGCCTTTGGCCCACTTCTTACAATGAATGTTAGCTCTGGATGAGCTAATCCTTCCCAGGATTTCAATTAGCATGTCCGTGCAAATGACTCAAATCCACAACTCCTGCTCCAAAGCACCAAAGCATTTCCAGCTGCCTAAAAGTCATTTCTACCTGGAAATCCCACAGGTACCTTAAACTCACACATTTTACTGCAAACATCTTTCATATTCCCCAAATTACTTCCAATCTCAATAATCTAAATGAACATTCTTCTAGTCCCTCAGTTTTGAAACCACCAGCATCCTCCCAAATGTCTCTTAGATCCACTCTCCTTTCCTTCCCACTGCCACTATCGTAGCTAAGACCCTTATTATTTTTGACTTGGATTACAACAAATTTCTGGTATCTTTGTTCTCTTTCAACCTCCTCCAGCTCATCCTTTACATTACCTCCAAGTGTCCGATGGAGTCCCACCTCAGAAGTTACAACTGCATACAGAGGCATTAAAAAAAATTGCCTTCCACGCTCTTCACCCAAATATCCCTGTCCCCTATCCCTACCATCCTCACACTACCCTCACACTACCACTTTACCACGCCATTCCACTGACTATTCATTCTGTACTATTCTTTCTCCCTGGAGTGCTTCTTAGGTGCCCTGGTGGTACCGTGGGGTAAGCGAAGTCGGTAGTTCAAACCCATCAGCCACTCCACAGGAGAAAGATGAAGCTGGCTGCTCCCATAAAGATTGAGCCTCAGAAACCCTAAGGAGCTGTTCTACTCTATCCTACAGTGTCGCAATGAGTCAGAACTAACTCAACGGCAGTGGGTTTAATTTCTGGTGGGTGGAATGCCTGTTAAAACCAGGTCACCCTTCACCAGCGTTCTGACCATCAGTCAGAATGAATCCCTCCTTAACCTGTTGACTTGTGTTACCCAGTACAGTAGTCCTGGCCACATGCAAGCACTTGGAGGGAAATAGTCCAAATTGAGATATGCCATAAATGTAATTTGAAAGACTTAGTACCTCTGTTATTGTTGTTGTTATTGTTAGGTGCCATCGAGTCAGTACTGACCCACAGCGACCTTATGGCACAGCAGAATGAAACACTGCCCGATCCTGGGCCAACCTCACTACTGTTACCACGCTTGAGTCCATCGATGCTGCCACTTGGCCAATCCATCTTGTTGGGGGTCTTCCTCTTTTTCTCTGACCCTCGACCTTACCAAACATGATATATCCTTCTCCCAAGACAGGTCCCTCCCAACAATATGTACAAAGTATAAGAGACGAAGTTTTTCCATCTTGGCCTTCAAGGAGCACTCTGGCTGCACTTCTTCTAAAACAGATCTACTGGTTCTTGTGGCAGCCCATGGCACTTTCAATATTCTCCTCCAACACCATAACTCAAAAGCATCAATTCTTCTATGGTCTTCCTTATTCACTGTCCAGCTTTCACATGCATATGAGGTTATTGAAAATACCATGGCTTGGGTCAGGTGCACCTTAGTCCTCAAGCTGACATCTTTGCTTTTCAACACTTGAAAAAGGTCTTGTGCAGCAGATTTGCCTAATGCAATACGTCATTTGATCTCTTCACTGCTGCTTCCGTGAGTGCTGATAGTTGATCCAAGAAGAATGAAGTCCTTGTCAACTTCAATCTATGCGACCGCCCCCCCCCCAAAAAAGCATGGTATATAAATAAATTTCTGTATTGAATACATATTGAAATGTTTAAAATATACTGGCATCAGATGTATTTAAAATTAACTTCAATTGCTTTTTTTCACATATTTTAATGTGGTTACTAGAAAATCTAAAATCACATATATGGCTTATCTTGTACATTTATTGGATGGCAGCACTCTAGGAATTCTATATTTCTGTGAGCTTCCATCCATGCCCTATGCCTTCATTCATTCATTCAAATATACTTTGGGCTGCTAACTGCAAAGTTAGCAGTTCAAACACACCAGCCACTCCTCAGGAGAAAGAGGAGGCTATCTGCTCCCAGTAAAGATCTACATCTTAGAAAATCGATATAAGGTAGGAATCAACTCGATGGCAGTGGATTTGATTTGGATTGACTATGGGCCAAGCACTATTCAGGCACTGGGGATGTTGCTGTTGTTAAGTGCTGTCAAGTCAGTCCCAACCCATAGCAACCCTGTATAGGGTTTCCGAGGAGTGGCTGGTGAGCTTGAACCGCCAACCTTGTAATTCAAATGACTTTGCAGTCCAGCGCATTAACCCACAGCGTCACACCAGGACTCCAAAACCAAAACCAAAAAACCTATTTCTGTCAAGTTGATTCCAACTAAAAGTTGACCCTATGGGGACAGGTTAGTACTGCCCCCATAGAATTTCCAAGGCTGCAAGGTCAGCAGTTCAAGCTCACCAGCTGCTCCTTGGAAACCCTATACGGGATGGCTATGAGTCGCAACCAACTAGACGGCACTTGAGAACAACAACAATCTTCATAGAAGCAGACTGTGACATCTTTCTCCCACAAAGCTGCTGGTGGGTTCAAACTGTTGACCTTTTGCTTAGCAGCCAAGTGCTTAACCACTATGCCACCATGGTTCTTCCACTGGGGATACCCAAAAAGCCAAGCCCACGGCCATCAAATCAACACCGACTCATAGTGACACTACAAGACTGAGTAGGCCTGTACCTTAGGATTTCTAAGACTATAAATCTTTAAGGAACAGACAGCTCATCTTCCTCCCACAGAGCAGCTGGTGGGCTTGAACTGCCAAACTTGTGGTTAGCAGCCCACCACTTAACCCACGGTGCCACCAAGTGTCCTTACTAGGGATACAACAGTGAACAAATCAAGATCCCTGATTTCAAGTTTACCTCAAGGTTGGTTTGAACCACAAGATTGGCGGTTCAAGCTCACCAGATGCTCTTTGGAAACCCTATACAGGGTTGCTATGAGTTGGAACTGAATAGACAACACTTAACTCAGCAACAACAGTCTTATGGGGAGCTTACATTCCAGTTGTGGTTGTGAATGTATACAAGTCCAGACAACTCTACTTAATATTAAGCACAGAGAACAAATGATAAACAGTACTAACTACATACTTTGTACTTCTCCTGCTCTCAGGTTCTCCCGAAGATGACATCACATGTGGTAAATGAGATCGATAACATTTTGCGCAACAAGCCCTACAGCAAAAAGGATTATAGATCATAAGGCAATGCATGAGCCCCAGGAGCTGCATGGTTAAAATAGCGGTCTGTACCGGTACAGGTCGGTGTTCCTAGCCAGTCTTACGAGTCACTTAGCAGCCTGCTGCTCAGCCTCTAGTGTCCCTGGATTCTCTGAGGTGTCTGCTGTCGCTACCACTGTGCACCTGAATTAAGAGCACATCTGAAAACTCACAACCAAGAAAATCCATTCTATTTTCTTATCTTGGACTGGAGTCGCCTATCCTTGCATTGCTCTGTGCACCTCATGCTTATGCAATGGAGACTAGATGGTGGGGAAAGATGTATGGAGTGGGGAGGGTTACCTTCAAGCATCTGGTAACTTGAAGTCTGTACAGACATATTTTTTTTCAATGAACAAAATCCATAAATGCAATGTGGAGATAGAATAAAAACAGAAGCGGGGTCAAAAAGAGAGCTTAGCTCAGAAGTCTTTGCTTAGAAGAATAAGCAGAAACTATTTTACTTTTTTGTTTACTTCTTCCTATTTTCACATTCATGTTAGGAAGAATTTTGTTCCATCTACCATGCAACAATATGAAATCTGTTTTCATTACTTTTAACTGTTGCTTAACTCCAAGAATAGTCATTTATCCAAGGTGTCTATTGAGGGAGTTGTGGTACCTAATAAGAGTCAAACAAAGCTACAACCATTTACATGGACAGATGGTAAAAGGATGAATACTTTAACTAGAGAAATTCTGGTTAATTTATGGAAGGGAGGATTTCACTACTAAGGAAACTTAGCTTTGAATAAATGGAAAGTAATGTATCTGCAATGAAGTGTTCATTTTTTACTCTAATTTATCAAAACCTGCTTTATACTTTTAACAGCTTGTAGGCACAGCTTCTGCAAGTTTAAATATTTGAGCTTTAAAATTATACACATGCTCAGTTTTGTAAGTAAACCTGTAAGATACCCAGAAATAGTATTCTTTTTTTTTTTTTTTTTTAATTAGCACTGGGATTTTACAATATGATGCCTGACATTTTTGAGGAGTTAAACATGAGCAAAAATCAGGAGCTTTGTGCAAAACTGCTGTTACTACTCGGCATATGCTGGGTGAATTAACTTGCCCAAGAAAAGTAAACTTTAAAGAACTTCCTGATTCTATAATCACATTATATGCACTGAACTAGATGCATGAGAGCTCTTTGCATGGATTAAAGGGGCTTAACCTTGTTGCACTCAGAATTTGAAGTCTTTTTATCTAGCCCTGCCCCTATTCATTTACCCACCATTCTGACTATTCCACCTGAGAAATGTTAGAATGCACTGTGCGTGTTCCTACCTGAAAGAAGGGAGAAAGCACACTTTTTCCTTTAGTCCTTTAAACGCTATTTAGAGAATGCACAAAATCCTAATATTATTTTCTGACCAAGAGGAAATCACTTTGAGATTTATAGAGCTATACTATCAGTTGAAAATGCTTTTCTTCTGCCATCATTTCTAGATACGTAGTTCATGGTTAAGTTCTAAATCTTAAAATGTTAGTGTGTGATATCAACAAATTTTCATTTTGATTACCTCTACCTGTACTCTAATAGGGAAACTGTTTTGTTTTTTGACCCAAAAGTATCAGATTAATGATGAAAAGGGATCATTTTTCAGTTGTTCAATGTGCACTCGGTGCAGTCAATACAGTTATGTATAAACGAGCTGAGGTACTGTCTAATTGGAACTGCAACTTAACCTATTTATTTGCTTGGAGTAATAAAAGCATTTTGTGCACTTAATCTCAAAACCAGAGTTGTTATCTGAACTTTCATTGTGAAGCATAAAACATGTATGTTGTTAAGTGTCATCGAGTTAGTTCCAACTCACAGTGATCCTGTATAAGGTTTCCAAGGAGTAGCTGTGGGTTTGAATTGCCAACCTTGCAACTAGTAGTCCAGTGTTTACTAACATCACCATAAAATAAGCTGCACTAAATAATACATGACGGTGATCGAACACTGTGACTCAAAGTGTAATGCAAACGTTTTTCTCTAATTAATAGAGAAAATGGTTACTGAACGTGTTAATTTCTCACTGGGTTTTAGAAATACTTTGCACTGAGGTTAAAGCTTCTCAAGCCCACTTAAAAGGACCTACAAATCAAAGCATTATTGCTTAGCAATGGGAAGAGACAATTTTTTATACAAATCATCTGTGGGTAAAGATACTGCATAAGAAATGCATCTCCACAGCTAAAGCCTAGATTAAACTTCCAAGCAATCTCAAGTCTTCTGGAAAGCAGAAAGCACACCATTCTGAAGGAAAACCTGGTGGCAACCATCTATTTGCTAAAATCTTGGCCAGGAGAAACACAAACTAGAAACCCTACACCTGCTTTGCACTTGATTAGAACTTTAGCGGTCACTAGGCAAATGCCTGTACTTCAAGGGGCCTTGTTGTTGTTAAGTACCATCAAGTTGGTTCCAACTCGTAGCAACCTTGTATAGGATTTCCAAGGAGCAGCTGCTGAATTTGAACCACCGACCTTGCAGTTCAAATCAACCTTGCAGTCCAGGGCATTATCCTACAGCCACAACAAGACTGTAAAGCCACCTCGCAGGCCTCCGTAGCACATAAGAATTGTTCCGTAGCAAATAAGGATTGCTGTTAAGTGCCATCCAGTCAATTCCGACTCACAGCAACCAACCCTTTGTAGGGTTTCCGAGTGGCTGGTGGGTTTCAATTGCCGACCTCGAAGTTAGCAGTCTTGTGCACCACACCAGGACTCCATGAGGAAACAGAATTGGATGAAATAACTTGTCAAACTCACACTGCTGGCTGGCTGAGGGCAAAACCTGGACTAGAATGTAAGTATTTATATTAAGAAGTTCCTTTAAAAAAAAAAAAAAAATCCTTTATGTGTTAAGTAACTGTGGGTAACTTTTTTTTAACCTTTTATTGTGAATTGAGTGAAGGTTTACAGAACAGACCATTTTACACTCAAGGAATCATACACTTGGTCTTATCAATGATTGCAACCACATCACTGTACCATCACTTCTCTCTTCTGTTTGTTTCTATCCCTCCTTCTTTCCTAACCTCTCTGAACTTTGTCCATGTGTAAATGCTCCCCTTTTGGGAGAAGCAGGATAACTGTTGTTTTAGGGAAAGAACTGAAAAAATTGAGAGCACGCAAAATGTATGATTGGTTGTAGGTAAAGCTGATGATCTTGTCTATTAACCTTCACCCAATTCACAATGTTTAAATAAATAAATGCTACCCTTTTGATCTTGAATGATCATTCTATGGTATGTGTTGTTGTTGTTATGCACCGTGGAGTCGCTTCTGACTCAGAGCGACCCTGTACAGGGTTTCCGAGGCTGCAAATCTTTACAGGAGCAGAAAGCCTCATCCTTCTCCCGCGGAACAGCTGGTAGTTTCAAACTGCTGACCCTGAGGTTCACAGTCCGATTCATAACCGCTACACTACCAGAGCTCCTTTCTATGGTATGTACTTCACTAATATTGTCCATTATGGTTGTGGTGGTGGTTATATGCCATGGACTCGTTTCCAACTCACAGAGACAACTGTATAGGGTTTCTGTGGCTGTAAATCTTTACAGGGGAAGAAAGCTTCATCTTTTCTTATTCAGCATGACTGGGAGATTTGAACTGCTGACATTGCAGTTAGCAGCCCAGCTTGTAACCCACTACGTTAGCAGAGTTCCTCACTGTCCTATATATGTTATTGCTTGGCTGAAATTTGAGCAATGAGGGTGAGTTCAGTGAATGGTGACCAAAAGGCATAGTCTCAGGGCTCAGTCAGTCTCTATGTAACCAGTAAGCCTGATATTCATGATTTTCTATTTTGTTCCACATTGTGATCCCTTTCAGCAGAACAGTTGGTAGAGGCAGCAGGGCACTGTCTAGTTTTTCTAGTTTCAGGATCATGGAGAATCATGTTCATGCGGTCCAATGATCCAATGAACTGTTTCCAAGTGTTTTCCATTTTTATCACTCCTTTTCTCTGGAGAGGCAGACCAAGAGTTGTACCTTAGATGGCCACTCATGAGCTTTTAAAATCCTAATCGCTAATCACCAAAGTAGGATATTGTATAGTCTTTGTAGACTCTATTACACCAATCAATCATGGTGTCCCCCAAAATTATGGTCCTGAACCAGCGACTCAATCTGTGGGTAAAATTTTAAGTTAAAAGGTACAGTTCTGAATCCCAATTCAGGTATTAGAGAAGAGGGAAAGGTAATAATATTTAATGAAAAGCCATTAAGGACAAAAAGAAGTTACTCCTTGTCTACCCTGAACATCTAAATCAACCAATAACAAAAAAAAAAACCCACTAAATGATTGGATGGAATCATGTACATAAGCTATACAGGATTCTAAGGCTGGGATTGGTTAGTTTTGCCAACCAGCTAGGCTTAAAAGGAGCCATTTCAGAAGCAGAGGCAGATGATCCCAGGGCCATCCCGAAGGAAAGGCATGTGTGGCTCATGAGATCCCTTCCTAGAAAAGCGGCAACAGCAGAGATGGCATGGAGAGACAGAGCAGCTAAAGACTCTGGGACCATAGACTGAGTAAACCGAGTGCCTAAGGGCAGGGGACTGGCTTGCAGAATGTACACTTTGGGTATTCAGACTGGCTAAAAAAGCTTTTAACAGGCAAGCAAGGCAAAGGCCGAGGAGCCACAGGGCTAAGAGGTCAAAGACAAGAGTGAGGCGTACCGGCAGTTTGGCGTACAAAAGGTGTTCCTGACTGGACAACTGCTGCATCCTGAGTTTTCCTAAACCTGAATAAACCCCATAATCCTGAGTATTGTTATGAGTTGTGTAGCCTTTTTATCAAACGCAGATGTGAAGCAGAGTGCAGTGTGAAGGATGACTGTTGTCCGAATAGGATAAAGTAAGTTGAAGGGTAGAGGCATATCTAACCATCAAGTCTTAGGAATTGGCCTTGGGCTGATTTTGAGTTTCTCTTTCCCCCTTGTGAAGCCAAAGTCAGACATGGTCTCCACATGATTTTGGTACCTCTTAATCTTCCTGGTGTGGCTCTGTTGGATAAGCACTGGACCACAAGGTCAGTTTGTACCTCAAGGTTGGTGGTTCCAAGCCACTCTTCAGAAACCCTATACAGGGTCGCTATGAGTCGAAACCAGCACAAAGGCATTGAACAACAATGTTTAAATAAGTTCCTTGCTTGGGAATTTAAGGTGAGATGAATCCTTAGAGTCCAACTAAATATTATCTGTAAAACTGCTCCTTTCTTACATCCTATAGATACACGTGTGCGCACGCACACACAAGCACACACACACACCTCCCTGTAAATACTATGTGTCCTTTCAAAATAGTAGTCAACACTGAAACATTGGCGCTTAGGTGGGCAGACACAAAGCATTATCTCTAAAGCTATTTTTCCATGCAATTTTTGAAGCCCCTGGCATTGGTAAACAGGCTCTTTGCTGTAACTGCACTATGCCTGCCACTGTCTTCCTTCCAGACATATGATTAAGACAAAAATGTGTGTTCACATGTGTGGGAAATTAAAATGTTGATTAATATCAAATAATGTAATAAAGATGGTATACTTACTTGATTCTTAGAAGTCTAGGGAAAACAAATTTTACAAAGCAAAGTTTATGAAACTAATTAAGCAAAATAAGAATATTTGGTTATGAATCCAACCACTGTTTCAGTAAACTTCTGTCTCATTGCAAACTTTCCTTTCCAAGTTACAATAAAATATCAAGTAGGGCCAACAGTACATTTTTACTGGCTGAGAATACTTTGAACCCAAGAATTTTAAGACCTAAATGAGGAAACAGTGAAAAGCAACATGTTATAACCTTAAATCTCTACAGATTACAATGTAGAGTTTGAAAAATAATCGAAATCACTTAGAATACGAATTATAGCAGAACCCCTTTTATTTTATTGCTGTTGGATATGGGATCTTTGTTGTTGTTAAGTGGCATCGAGTCGGTTCTGACTCATAGTAACCCTGTATAGGGTTTCCAAGAAGCAGATGATGAGCTTGAGCTGCCAACCTTAGAGTTCAAACCGACTTTGCAGTCCAGCACATTAACCCACAGCACACAGGACTCCAGGATCTTTGGTGGTTGGTAGTTATAGGCCGTGGAGTCAATACTGGATGGAGTTTCCGAGGCTCTAAACCTTTATAGGAGTAGAAAGCCTCATCTTTCTCTGTCAGAACCACTGGTAGCTTTCATTTGCTGACCACTAAGATTAGCAGCCCAACTTGTAACCACTACACTCCAGGAACTTTAAAAGGTAAAAATTCCATTTGGTTTGTACTACCTAAATCAGACTTAGTAAAAGCAGTTCTATGTGCCACAAAGATGGAAGAATGCTTGGAAAAAAGCTTCTCTAATTCCCAAGAGTAAATAACTGGCACAATAAATCCTTAATAAAAATTGTGGAACAGTGAGTATATGCTTTATGATCTCATGCACAGAAGTTTATCGAACAGAAAGAAAGTCAGAAACCATTATCATGATTTAAAAAAAAAAAAAAAATCAAGAAAAATTCGTTTTACTAATTCAAAATTCTCTTAAGATCATTAAGAACTAATTCAAAATTCTCTTAAGAACACCACCCACCTCAATTGAACTCTATTATTATACAAGAATACTGGTGAGTTTTTTCCCATCTATAAGGTCGCAATGAGTGGGAGTCCACTCAAAGGCAGTGCGATTTGTTTTAATACAATCACTGCCATCTAGTGGCAAAATTTCCCCTGTACTTAAAGTTTGGCCCCATTCTGACAACTAAGTAGGAGACAGTTGTCAAGACAATGATTTGGTTAAGTAAGCCAATGCATTCATTATGCACACAAATTCGGTAGCACCACTAACTATTAACAAAAATTAGAAATTAGAAAGCCCTCTGTTATCCTATCTTTGCAGTGAAGTCCGAATCCTCATCAACTCATGTTATCCAGTGACGCCACTCAGATAATAAATGCACCAGAGAAAAGTGTATAGTTGCAGACTTCCAGAAGCAATGATGAAATATCATTGTCAACTGCATACAGTAATGCTCGGGGATCATTTATACAAATGGACTCCTGCCCCTATCTCCTTCCCAAGTCCTTGGATATGGTACACCACCAAAACATCCAACAGCTGGAAACTACAAGATGAACTACTGAAGACTACCTTTTTATAAAGTACATATAAACCAGCTAATATCGCTGTTAAACATTCATCTTAAAATTTAGAAGTACAAACTAAACATTAGGACACAGAATATTTCTCTTGTGGTACTGCTTATAGAAAATAACTGAATGTGACCCAAAGCTAGTAGAAATACGCTTAAACTGATTATCTGTGATTCCATAACCTAGTAAATGATACAGATTTTTAAAAGTCATGGCATACGTAGAAAACTATATTATCTATACAGCAGCGTAGTGGTTATGAATTGGGCTGCTACCATCAAGGTCAGCAGTTTAAAACTACCAGGGGTACCACGGGAAAAAGATGAGGCGATCTGCTCCTGTAAAGATTTACAGCCTTGGAAACCCTTTGTAGGGTCACTGTGAGTCTGAACCAACTCCATGGTACTTAACAACAACACACACAAACTGGTAAAAATGAAACACACTAGACTGCATCCCCGAGGACTGCAAAGTCCACTGTTTTCTTCACAATCAAAGGGAATCTCTGATCTTACAGATCACATTTATGAAAAACCTACTGGAAACATGCCTACAAGCACTAAAAACCACTATCATTCTTTTTGGAGAATTTTTAGCATTCCAGAACTAAGATTACAAAAAGTAAGGTTACAAAAACTCCTTTGGTCTTTTGACATGTCAATATTCAAGAAGTTGTTTCTCTTACCAACATCCCTCCTGTGACGTGAGACCCTACTCAAGGGAATCAATGACTCCAGTTTCAAACCAACACTGCAGGGTCAGCTTGACCTCCCAGGCCACCCAGAGCCTAAGCCATACAGCAGAACAGTATGTGCTTCAACCCCACAGAGCCACTCTCATATGCCTGGTCACTATTTTTAGGTTATTACCTTGGCCAGTTTTCATCTTATAAAATATCAGAACTTTTCCAGAAGTTTCTCTTCTCCAAGTTGGAGAAACCAAGTTTTAAAGTTTAATTGAGTCATTTCAAGTCACTAATTCCGAGCCTTGTAAACATAAGGCTTCTGTTCAACTCCCCCAGGGAGAGGATTCATTCGGATATTTATGGTTCACAAAAAGTTGTAATAGTGTTCTTGGAACATAGAGAACCAGTTATTAACTTCTTGCAACTATTATAAATAATAACAGCTCAGCCCAGGTTACTGTGACCTCTGACAGATCAAGGAAGCAAGTAATTTTCTCCTCCTGTGATTATAGCACACTGCAAGATACTTTTTGCCTTTTAATAAAACGCGTATTCTGCATTTCTTTCAAATCATTTAATGTTAACAACCTGTCAAAAATGGCCAATACACAAATACTGAATGACATTTTGTTGGTTTTTTTAAACCCTCAAATTCCAGGCTACTAAAACATCTGTGACTCCCACCCTGACCACCCTGCTGCTTTTCCATATGCCACAGGCCACCCGTAGATACAAAATCCGGGGGGCTGCCAGGGTCTACTTGGAGCCAGTTGACAGAAGGGCGATGAGTCCTGATGAAGCACTGATGGACAAAATGTAGTTCCTGCAAGAATTTCCTGTTAAGGAAAAGTTCAGAACCCCAGATTCGTTATTGAACAAAACAAAAGTGTCCGTCACTTTGGAATGTGCAGTCTCTCTCCTGACATGCTGGATTGTCACAATGATGTTGTTACAGTCCTACTGTCTGTAAACACAATTTACAAAGCAGAAGCTCATAAAAGAGGAAAAACATTTCCAGGAAATGTGTTCCAATTTAGGAAACAAAAACAAACACTGAAGACAGAAACCTAGAACACATTATAGCAAAAAGTACATTTGAATTCCATTTCACTTTCAGGGAGAAAGGTGATCAAGGAGGCAGGGGAGCCAGGAGACGGACTTGTTTTCCTTTCTCCCCTCCCAGTCTCCGGTCCATCAGCTCTTCTTGTTAAGTGCCATCAGTCAGTTCAGCCTCATAGCAACCCTGTACAGGGTTAACAAGGAACGGCTTGTGGGTTAGAACTGCTGACCTTGTGGTTAGCGGACCAGTGCTTATCCTATAGCAGCACCATGCTAGGATTCCCAGCTCTTAGCTGCAATAAATACCAGCAGTTTCTGAAAGTTTGCAGCCTCTCCCAGCCCCAGGACTGGACCTTTAGGGGCAAACAACTCCAGTATCCCCAGATGATATTAGTTGGAAGGTGTCAGATCTTTTATTATAATTGTTAAGAGTTTGGCTGCACATTCCTGTTTAACACCCTTAGTAAATTACCTTAACAAGAGAAGACTGATTTCTTACCCAGGAAAGCTCAATTTAAGAGTAGCTTGAACTACTACTAAGATTTTATGAAATGTACCCATTTAACTATAGTGGCTAACGCAAAACCCCAAAATTATACAGGTAGACAAGGGCGTATGCCAAGAGCTATCAAAGAAGGCAAGTTTGCTTTTACTCCAAAATCCTCTCGGACCTGTTTTCCTCCTTCAGTAAGCAGGTATACACAATCACATAATCTAAGTTTGCTTTATGGTACTTGTTATTCATCGTAAGGCTGTAACTGATCAATTTAAATAGACCTTTAAGCACCACACCCAAAACCCTTGTTTTAAATGTCCAGAAACTTGCCAAGGATCATAGTATTATTTAAGGGATTGGCACCCAGTACAGTTTTCTTTCAACTACAACACCGAGACAAGTCAAACCCAAAAGAACTACTGTTTCTAAACTTCTAAAAAAAAAAAACACCATCTTCTGCCGTTAAAAGGATACACTGTGGGGTTGAAGTTCTTTAGTATAAAGAAGGAAGCAACAATGACCAAGAACAGGAACAGGGTGTTGTTATAAAAGATAGAAAACGTTGTAGCTTCATAATCAGCAACTTCATTCTTCTTCCACAAGATTCTGTAAATACAGAAGCAAGCTAGTCAAGTTTCTAAATAGATATTAAAAACTTTAAGGACCACAGTGGCTCTAGTTTGTTGTCTAAACCAAAGTTTTTCCATTAAGTGTTCTAAAGAAGAACATTAAATTCCGTTGGAATTGTCCCCTTCCTCCTACAGGAAAGTATATTTCACTGTCCTTACTGATAGGGAGGAGTCCTGGTGTGGCGCTATGGGTTAATGCGGCAGACTGCAAAGATATTTGAACTGCAAGGTCAGCGGTTCAAGCTCACCAGCTGCTCCTCAGAAGCCCTATTATACAAGGTTGCTCTAGACTGCAAAGATATTTGAACTGCAAGGTCAGTGGTTCAAGCTCACCAGCTGCTCCTCAGAAGCCCTATTATATAAGGTTGCTCTATGGATTGGAACCGACTCGATGGCACTTAACAACTGATAGGGAAGAAAACACTTGCTAGATATGTCCAGTATGTTCCCAGGCAGTTAGAGCTATGGAGGGAGGGACTGACTCTAGCCAAAACAAGGGCCTTTCTTTTGCTCTTTACCAAATACTTAAACTCCCGAATCACACAGCCAGCTGTGCTCTGGCTGGAGGTTCTCTATAGTCTAAGGATTTCTGACTCGTTTTAAAGAGTCAAACCCAACAATAAAAACTACCTCTGGTCTCACAGTGAGAAGCAGACCTAGCTGTGGCCACCAATAGCCATCTGGTATGGCGCTGAGAGTTAATGCAACGTCAATTTGAACCACAAGGTCGGCAGTTCAAGCTCAGTAGTCACTCCTTGCAAACGCTATACAGGGTCACTATGGGTCAGAACCAACTCGACACAAATAGCCATCTTATGTAATTCAAGGACAGGATCGTTTGATCATGCGGAGGAATTGCTACCTTTTTTTGTACAACACTTTGAATCACAGTCGCCATCAAGTCACTTTGAATCACGGCAACTCCATGCTTGTCAAGAGGAGAACTGTACTCCATAGGGTTTGTGGTGACTAGTTTTTCAGAAGTAAATCACCAGGGCTTTCTTCCAATGTTCCTTTGGGCATATGCCAACCTCTAATTTCAGTCAGCAGTCACTTGCTTTGGGATTTTATCCTATTCATTTACTATCAGGATTTTATCAACCTTTTCTTTTACCTTATCATACAAGCTAGAGGAAGCTTCTATGGTGCCTGTGAGTAAGGGAGCCTTTGTTCTCCTTGGTTAATTTACTTTGTAAAACAGTTTTTAATAGGTACATTGTGACCATTAGTGAAATCAGTTGAGAATGTGGAAATCAATCAGGAAGACCTAATGCTTAGGAAAATCAACTGAGTAGGTTGAGACCATATTTTAATAAGCAGACAGGAAAAACAGAAACAGCAGAGTGCAGCATACACAGTAAATATTGTTTCATGAAATGTTAAGTGTTATTTGCTCAAAAGGTAATGATATAATAAAGGAGTCCTGGTAGCACACTGAGTACACACTGATTGGGCTGCGAATCATAAGCTCAGCGGTTCGAGTTCACCAGCTACTCCATAGGAGAAAGATGAGGCTTTTTGTTCCTGTAAAAAGAAGTCCTATACAGGGTCGCTATGAGTCAGAATTGACTCGATGACACAATCGCCACCACCATGTATATATTATAATACACATATATTGTTGCTATTAAGTGCTGTCAAGTCTGCCCCAAAATGATACCCTACTCAGGCTAGATGCTCCCCACCCCGACCCTGGGACAGCACTACAGCTAAAGTCACTGATACGTGGCGTGTTTTACTCACTAAAGGTTCCAAACCAGAGTCAACAAACATGCCTATAAAGGCCCTAAAAGGAGAGCAATATCACCTAGTCCTCATCAGAAGAAATCTAGAGACACTAGTATATATATGACATAGTTCCTTGACTCTGCAGCTACTGATAACTTAATCAGCCTTTGATTGACTACCTGTGTGGGAAAGGGAAAGACATTATACTAAGTTTAATAGCAACTACAAAATGCCTTCTGGTTTCAGTGAAATTTCAGCATAAATTTTTTTAAAATATTTATGATTTGGACATGAAGGAAAAACACAGTACACCACTCTAACAATGATGAAAGAGAAACAGGCCCAGTAAGAAGCAGAGCCCCAACAACAGTCTAACAGAAAATAACCCACACACCTACTTCTATCTTCAGGACTCTGGCAAAAGACCCAAAAAACACAGTCTTGAAGTAGGCTACTGGTATCATGGTGTGGCGCTGTAGGATCAACACAGGACTACTAACTACAAGGTCAGCAGTTCAAACCCACCAGCCGCTCCTTGGAAACGCTATACAGGGCCGCTATGAGGTAGGATGTCACAACAACAAAGTAGGCTACTAACATGAACTGACCCCGGCTAATGAAGTTACCCTGTCTCCATCACAGAATGTCTCACTGCCTCCTTTCTTGTCATGTCCCCGAACCAGAACCACCTCCACTCAATTCTTTAGGTTACTCCAACTCCCAGTATGACACATGCTACACCAGTATCCACAGTTACGCCCTCAGAACTTATTCCAGTTCACACATACATTGGCTACTTGGAAAACAATGTAGGACCCCAGAAAAGTCAAGGTTAAACTCAACAACTGTTACAATCAGAAGATGCTTTAAAAAAAAAAAAGGCAGCAGGCAAATCAAGAAATAACATCCATTCTGGATGGATGGAGATTTTAAAGCAGATTCATAGTGGTATGGAGCACAAATTCCACATGATTATAGGGGGCACTTTGAGAGATCTAGAAAAAGAGGAGCAGAGCAGATCTCTAGATCTGTTGAAGAAATCTTTTTAAAACAACTTATCCTTTGAGGAGGAAGCATACTAGATCTTAATGGTAGTCTTCAACCCCAGTTCTCATGGTCAATCATGAGTACAAACCAGCTACAACTGTATCCAATGTTGCTTTTTTGGAAAGAAACGAACAGCACAAATTTCTACTGATGATAAGAGAAATTTCATAATCTGAAAATCACTCTGCATTCTAAATCCCGGGAAATCTCCACCTCACCCTACTCTGAACTACCTAATCTAAGGAATGGCATAGCGGTTTCATTTCTAATTCCAGCTCTGATCCGCAAGTAGTGCATGTACTATCTGATGTTGTGCTGAGGATTCTGAGCTGCATCCCAGGATCACAAACAAGTGCCACATCAAACCAGGCATGTATGCAATGGGCAGAGACCTACGTACCACCTCCGATATCATTAATCACTCAAAAACAACAGAGCTAAAATTTAAGCATACACAATCCATTCCTTTCTAATGCAGGAACCCATGCTTTCTCAAATCAAGAGCGACAAGTAATGGTTATCCCTTAAAAGTGTAGCATGCAGGTGTTTCAAAAAGTTGGTGGGAAAGAAGGAACAAATCTTTACAGCGAGGACCATTCCCACCTCCTCCATACAGAGTAGACAGGGATGGGCAACTTGGACATTGGCTACCCAAAGTGCAGGGGCTACAAAGGCAAGAAGTGACTGGCTTACAAGCTTTCAAGAGGGAACCTAGATCCAGAGGGCGCTGAGGAAGGTAGAACCTCCACTGAGTAGTATCCAATCTGTCTGGGTGGGGCTGATGAAAGGAGATGTGGATTGGTCTCTTATGATACATGTGAATAACTGTTATCAGGAATGCTTTTGAGGGTTGGAAAGGTAAAGGTAGACGTTTTGCAACAAAATGAGGGGAGTGATTGATTTTGCAGTCTAGGAGCAGAGGTCCCTGGGACCACTGAGGGAGAAGAGCAGAGAGCAGGACCCTACCCAGAGAAGCAGTGATGCCAGAGATGGAGGCAGAGATGATGACATGGAGAGATGGAGCGGCTGGGGACTTTATACCCAGAAAGGGAGAGGGGCTGTGTGCTGATGACCGGCAGGCAGGTTTGCAGAGTATACCCTGTGGTTGGTTGATGGTGCATGGAGAAGACTGTAACCATGGCAATGAAATAATATACGATACGGTGAATGTAAAGTTAATGTTCTCCCATGTAAACTATCATACGATTCACAATAAAAACATTAAAAAAAAAGTTGGTGGGAAAATGGAATTTTTCCATGAACTTTTGAAGCTGCCTCATATATTTCTTCTCAATGAATTACAGGATTTAATCTGTCAATCCTGTAACAGCTGTAGCAGGCTTTTGAAATGAGTAACTGGAATGAGCATTATAGTTTATGAACCACTATTTTAATGTTCTTGAGTATTCTGTAACTTCTATTCCCCTACACACACAAAAATGCTATCAGAAAGCTACACAACCAAACTTCACTCAAGTGGCTTACTGCAAAAAGGCTTTCATTGTTGGGATTTCTTAAATATCAAGCCTTCAGTCTTATAAAAGCCATCGGAGATAGCGATTTCAATCATTTTGGTGCCTCTCCAAAAACACTGTAGACGACATTGTTCATAAAGTTTCTTATTGTTGTTCAGTGCCATGGAGTCGGTTCCAACCCACTGTGACCCTGTGTAGGGTATCTGAGAAGCAGCTGGTGAGCTTAAACTGCCAACCTTGTGGTTCAAACTGACCTTGCAGTCCATCGCATTAACCCACAGCACCACACCACGACTCTTGGTATCTCTTAAATAAGGGTCCGCTTTCTAAAGTCCTTAAGACTCAGTGCCCAGGAAGTTTCTTTTCAGAAGCATTTGCGTGCTGCCTTTCATCTGACAGCAAAAGCTCTGTGACCTCAGATGTGTAGCCTGACATTTGGAGGCTCAGAAACCAGGCTTGTTTTCAACTGCTGGAACTAACTCCAGGGTCCTTGCTCACCCAGCTCTTCTTCTCACTGGTTCCTCAACAGTGCATTCCTTTCTTAGAAATGTACTGTTAATAGTTACTGCAAGTACCCACTCAGGCTTTCTGGAGGAAAGTAGGGTAAAAATTCCATTCCACAAAAAATCCTGTGGATACTAAAACTCTGAACCTGTGAAAATGACCAGACTTATGACTCATTAAAACTATTAGGCAACTGTTCAGCACAATTTTCTCATTTGTTCAGGGGCTTCTGCTACTTGGATGTTACACTGCAGATTGTTTATTAAGCTCTATCATACCACAAGGTTGGTGTTTCAAACCCACCAGCTGCTCCTTGGAAACCCTATACTGGATCGCTGAGTCAGAACCGATTGGACAGCATTAACAACACCATCACCATAATATCAACTGGCAGGGAAAGGTGAAAGTGGGGACTACCAAATGCAGCATGGAATTGGGTGACAGGAGACAAACCCTGTCCCCAACCGAGAATTGGATGCCCCTCAGAGAGTTCAGAAACAAAAATACTACCACCCAGAGATTTTAACACATCAAACAATGTAAATTCTGCGGACCCAGAAGGGCTGGGAGATGTGCTCAAGAACGCACATTTATCACGTGGCAGACAGACTGGAGGACTCCTGGTAGCCTCCTAACTCTCAGAAGAACTAAGAGTACATGCTCTCAAGTCACATGGCCTGCATTTATATCATGGCCTGCCTTAGACAAAGCACCCAACCTTTCTATACCCAGTTTCCTCACATGTAAAACAAGGGTAATAGTGCCTACCTAATAGGGCTGTAAACAGAAATGAAATGAAATAAACTATTGAGTGCAAATGGAAATAGTAAAATAGTAACCACTCAGAGAGTTACCTATTATTTTACTACTACTTCTACAACATTGATACTTAACCCCAATTAAAAGCTAATTTTCTCCACAATACCCTGCCCCCACAAGCCTCTAATGCGCTGGACTGCAAGTCAGTTAGAACTGCAAGGTCGGCAGTTCAAGCTCACCAGCCATTCCTTGGAAACCCTATTCAGGGTCGCAGCCAACTCAACGGCACTTACCAACAGCAACAACAACAAACACTTTGAGAAAAGAGTCTAACCTTTCATCTTTCTCCTTCCGCGACATCTTTCTATTGTCAGCTTCAGAGAGTTTCCGAGTCACTTCTTTGGAAACGGCATCCTCCCTCTTCTGTGCTACTCTGGAAGGGAAAGAGGAAGAGAAACTGTTTCCAAATGCTCCAGGGGTGACTGTCAGACTCTCCCAGAAACAGTCTGTGCTCAGATTTTTATTAGCAGTTGTAAGATACCTTGCATTTCAATAAAGTAAGCTGGACACAAAGTTCCAAGTTTATTACAGTGACCTAGCCAACTGGAAGAAACTTCCAAGATGTGGTTTATTCATTCTGTGTTTGGTTTCTGCTTAAAATAGAGGAGACATTTTCAAAATTCCAGTATTTAGTATAGATATAAAAGTCAAATGCTATTAAACAGTATTATAACAAAATGGAACTCCAATTTGTTTTAACCTGTAATTTAACTCTCCAACAAATAAATTTCATGAAGTATTAGCAAATAATATCATTTCAATTCCATTAAATAGCAGTAAAGAAAATTAGGTTCAATAAACAAAAGGCAAGATAACAATTATAAAATCTTAAAGTAATGCTTTTGACTCCAACTCAAAGGAAAATCTCACCAGAGAGAATGAACGCTGTTAAATGAACTATTGTGCAAAAGTTGCACCTAAAGCTTGGAATCGGTCAGAAAACCCTGGAATTGTGTTAGTCTTCAGAAATCAGCTCTGCATCTTCAGCGACAAGTCAGCTTAAAAAATTCAAATGTTCATCCAACAATCGATGGGTGAATTCTATCAGATGAAGTTGCCAATGAACAAGGATAAAAAACCTTCCAAAGAGCGTGACATTTAAGTTCAAGATGGTATAGTTTTCATAATATAAGGAGAAACTGGTTAATCATAAACATAGACAAAAAAAGTAACTGTCCATAAGACAAAGGTAAAAACTGCCATTTTTCAACATGATATCGAAGCATGTTAAGAGCAATACAATATGGAACATGAAGATAAAAATATGCACACTCCACTTTCAGTTAATCAATCCCTTGTTACTTTGGTTTTTAGTTCTGTCAGTACACTAAGGAAAAAACTGGAGAATCAGGAAGCATTCGAAAAGAGAAAGTCCAATATCATTCAAGGAAGTTCTCAGTGTTTCTTCAACTCAAGAGTTTTCTGGGTTATTGAGTAAGATTTGACATCAATTAAAAAAAAACAAACAAACAAAAAAAACCTTTTGTTCATAAAAACTTACTTAGAAAGACAATAACTTGGAAATTGTTACTATTCATTTACACCACACAAACTGACAACTGTGCCAAGGAAAAAAGAGAAAGGAAATAGGTTCTGCAACTTAACGAAATAGTCCATTAAGGGGACTGAAGCCAAACAAGAGTTACTGTAAGACACTACAGTGTACTTTTTTCTTCCAAAAACTGAACTTCATCTAATTGATTCTATTATATAGAAAAATGTTTTATATTCATCTTTCACTCCTAAGATATGAGGCTCTGGACTCTAACTCGGAAACTCTCAAGCAGACCAAATATTTGTGTTTCTTTAACACCAGTCCATTTTTTTCCTACAAGAGACCAAATGAAAGACATGAGTTATATAGCAGCAGAAACCTTTCTTAGCTGTGTAGAAAATATATACATACACACGCCCCAACTGTCAGGGTGTTCAGAGACAAGAATAAAGTATTTTCAAAAGAGCTCATTATCTCTAAGCATATTTAGGACTAGTCAGCCATATGCCCAAATGACAGATCTTCCTGAAAAGAATGAACCAGCCACCTAGGCAATTTCTTTTTTTCTAACTCTATATTCATTTATCTCATATAAAGAGAGGTATAATCACCACATTACAGGTTTACTAAGGAGCCCTCGTAAAGGAGCTCTGGTAGCTAATGGTTATAAATTGGGCTGCCGTTCGAAACTACCAGCTGTTCTACGGGAGAAAGATGAGGCTTTCTGCTCCCGTAAAGATTTACAGCCTCGGAAACTCTTATGAGTCGGAACCAACCAAGGAGCACATCTCCACTGGAGAAAGATGAGGCAGTCTGCTTGTGTAAAGATTTACAGTCCGGGAATTGGAACAGTTTTGCTGTTTTGAGTCAGAATTGAATCAAGGGCACTTAACAAGAACAACTAGAAGCAGCAGTTCCCCCTTGTCTTTGTTGTTGTGAGGTGCTGTGGAGTCAGACTATCGACCCTTTACAGGGTTTACAGAAAAGAGGGTAAATTTTGTACGGGGCCAGAAAGCCTCATCTTTATCCACGAAAACAGCTGGTGGGCTTGAACTGATGACCTCATGGTTCACAGTTCAGCTTATCCTACAATGCCACCACACTCCTTCTGACTTGCTGTTGTTAAGTGCCACTGAGTTGGTTCCAACTCATTGCGACCCTGTGTAGGATTTCTAAGGAGGAGCTAGTAGATTTGAATTGCAGTTAGCCAATACCAGGACTCCTATAAACCTCACTCTGGACTAACTGATCGAAAACAAAATTAAGATCGCTCCAGTGACTTAGCATTTGTGAGATAACCCACAAAATTAACTGTTTTTCTCCTTTTTTAACATCAGTTTGTCACAAACCTGCCATAATAAAAAAATTTTTTAACCTTTCATGTCTTACCATTAAAAAAAAAAAAAATTCCTAAGGGCTTTCTTTCAGCTTTTCAACCTCTCTAAGCCTGCAGGCAAACACCTACTATGCTTAACATATCATATGATATTTAATCCTAACCATAGGATTAGGATTCCTGGTGCAGCTCTGTAGGAGAATCACTGGACTGCTAACCGAAAGACCACCCGTTCAAACCCACCAGGTGCTCCACCAGAGTATGAGTAGGAATTGACTCCACAGCACTTAACAACCCTATAAGGTATTGACAGTATCTCCTTATATAACTCAGAAATCTAAAGCCTAGACAAGTTAAGATGTATGCCCAAGAACACAGTTACCAGCAGCAGACCTGGGACAGGAATCCAGATCACTGGCTTTAAAGCCATCTACCCTTCCCTCTAGTATCAGCATCTACACACACTCAGCATCTCACTGGGTCTTTGAGACTTAGCCAACTTGCAAATCTGCAGGAGGTTCAATGTCAGTGACAGTACTTAATATGAAACTAAGACTCTGATTAAATCTGAGTTATTCTGTTCAATCAATAAGTCAGCGAACTAAACGTACATTAGCTGTTGAAAGAGATATAAAAACAAGACATGGCAGCAGCTCTCAAGAAGCCTAATGGAGAAACAAGAAGCTAAAAAGAACATGAATTTGATTCCAAAGAGGTAAATTTAAAAATGATATACAAAACGAGTGAAAAATGCTTGCAACTGAGTTCCAAGAGGATCACAAAAGATGGATTATGCAAAGTGTCCCCCTTCTACACAGATTCAACGACCTGTCACCTGTGCCTCCATCTCAGGGATTCTGTATCCACAGATGGCTAACGTCTCACAAGAAGGACAGTCTGTAACAATGGAGGTCAGGATGGGCTAAGCCCCTGGAATTGCAGTGGATAAAGAATGAGCTGACAACCCAAATAAATAAATATAATGTCACCAGTCTACTGCTCTATCAGACTATAGTCAAGCAAACGGAGTGTCCATGTGTCCTAATTAACACTAGGGAAGCTGCTGAGACCACTCTCACTGACACCCCTCTGGTCTGCTTATAATAAATCCCTGCTGAGATCAGCTCAGTGTTTTTCTATTCCTTGCCACCAGAAAGAGCCTAACATAGGTACAACAAAGCGATGAAATAATCCAAGTTGGGAAAGACTTCTTGGAAATGATTCCTAGGTCTGAAAATAACAAACATGGACTGATGGAAGGGGAGACGATCCAAAATGGGAGAGTGCATCAGTCATGTTCAAAGGGTGTCATGAAGGCTGAGTCAGAAGAGCTACAGTCTAATCCTGAAAGATAAAGCAGATAATGGGCATTTCAGGAGCCTGGAAGACTTTGGCTTTGATACATTACATATGGGAAAACATCAATGGGTCATTATGTAAGGCAATTACCTGAAAAGAATGCCAGATAAAAAATGAGTACACATTTTCATCTCATTAAAACAAATACCTGCATCTCACATGGATGATACTCCAAGGACTATGTGATATGTTTTTTCACACACTGCATGGCAGGGTGTGTGCCCAACTTTTGCTTTTAAGTTCTAGATGGAGACTGCTATAGCTTTTTCACCAAAACATAAACACTATCCAAACTGCAGTGGAAACTATAAATGAAAAGACAATGGGCATGCATGCAAAGCTCACAGGCACTTGAATCTCAGCAAAATTCCAACCAATTTTTAGAAACTGCTTTCACAGAGACATGGCACCTACAAGGTCACATTGAGGAAGCAGCAGGCTTAGTGGAACCACAGTTAAAACCTACCAGCCCCGCTGTGGGACACAGGTGAGGTTATCTGAATGAAGACTTAGCCTCAGAAACCCTATACAGGGTCGCTATGAGTGGTAATCGATGGTCAAGGGTTTGGTTTATTTATTTGCATTCTGAAGCAAGCTTAAGAAAAAGCATGAGAGGATCCTAAGGCTGCTAACTTAAAGGTTAGTGGTTCAAACTCAACAAGACAAAGACAAGCAAAAAGGATCTGAAGAGATTTCCACCTTGGAAACCCTGAGGGCACTCTGTCCTACAGGGTCACAAAGAGTTGGAATACTAGATGGCAATGGGTATTTGGTTTGAGGTTCTCATGAAGACAACGGCATTCTTTTCCTTAAGACGTTTTTCATTTTTTTAACCTTTGTGAAGTCAGAATATATCACTGCTTAAAACTAATGTATAAATGTATTGTGATGAGGCTCAGATTTTCTTCTCCAAAAACTATTGCTAAAATGCTATTTTTTATAACAGGTAGGGCCTTAGAACAGAGGAAATATTGTTATCCTTTACTTTTTATAAACTTGAGAGATAAAATTAGAATGTAAAGATCAGTGAATTTAAAAAAAAAAACAAAACAAAAACACTTCTTTCACTTCCAAAAAAAAATGGAACATACAGAAACATGTCTTTCCAGAAAGAATTAGTTTTTAAGTTGTTTATTTATTTGGTGGGCTTGTTTTCCTGATACACCCCATAATTTAGGATAGTGTTCAAATATCCTAATTCTATCCTCAAAGCAGATTTTCATAGTAACGTTAGCCTGATCACCATCTCTGCTTCAGTCAACAATCCTCCCAGCATTAACATCCCTCAAAAATAGGAAGGGCGCTTCAAAATCTTGGTGGAAAACTTCCATTCTCTTTTCATTCAATTTTCCATAAACTTTATGAAATCCCCATGTATGTACAGCTCTTTCTCTCAAGCAAACACTAAATGAAGCCAACACACACACTATCTTTAAGAAAACATTGTATAAAAATAAAATATATACATAACTCATATTCTTACTTTAGATATATACTTACTTGTGCTTGAGAACAAATTTTACATTCTTGTATGCAAAGGCTACCAAGTAAGTGCTTACTAGGGTCATCACACTATATAGAACTGCAGACTGAATAAGATCCATGTGCCATATTCGCCAGTATAGCCCTGAAATTAAATAAAAATGAAGGGGCAGGGGAGACAAAAAGGTACAAAACATTAGCACCCAATTATAAAAACCTGCTGGATTCATTAAACTGAAATCTGGTTAAATACAGTCAGGGTTTTGGAATCCAATACAGTTTATGCAGATTCAGTAAAAACAGCTAAGTGTGTAACTTTTACAATTCGTAACACTTGAAGAGAAGTGTAACTTCTTTATTACTAGTCCAAATGAAATTTCTGCTTGCTTTTTCTACACTGAAAATCCTAGCTCTATGAAATCACAGGGCAGACTTCAAATTTCATTTGTCAGGATATTATTATACTAAATACAGGCCATTCCAAAATTCCAGTGCAGTCCCAAAGCACAGTTAACATGCTGACGTGGACCATTATCTAAAACGATGGCAGTAACCCTGTCAGGGAGCAACAAAGTTTTGTAAGGCTAAAATAGAAAAAGCACCTGAATTCCATGGCCCAACATCAGTGTAGTAGTATAAGGGTCACCAGATTGAAATTCGGGTATCCTGACCTCTAAAACCCTTCTTGGCAGAGATTCAAATGGAAAAGCCTGAGCTCTTTCAGACCAAGTCTACACTTGGAAAATTTCAGTTTTCCCATCTCACAGGGTAATACCAAAATTGCTGTCAAAGGATTCAAAGACCTAAATAAAACTGTGTGCCTACTAGCAGGAGGCTGACTTGCAGAATGTGTCCTTTGAACAGTTAAATTAATATATATTTTTTGTTTTATATGTGCACATCAAATATCTTTTGCCTTGTTCATTCGTCAAACATAAAATGTAAAAAGTAAGTAGGATAAGTGTAATCATTGAGACGAAATCAAGTATAATTTGTTGAACGTAAAGCTGATGATCTTGTCTGTAAACCTTTAGTCAATTCACAATAAAAAGTTAAAATTAAATAAAATAATAAAACCTAAACAGGGTACATCAAAGACTGTTGTCCAATCTCTCATTGTGCAAATTAGGGAAATGAAGCGTAACTGTGTTAAGATGCACTCTACCTGAGAGTTAAAATGAGGTCCTCAGTCTCTCACCTAATTCATTCGTTTCTCCATAGTAAGTAATGATATAAATTAAACATTCCGTAACGGCAAAACAACAACTTGATAGAAAAGACATCAGGCGATCTGCCTACGTGTTAACACCAGATTCCAGATTCTTAACCTGGGTGCTCGTTTAATAGATTCGGATAGCCACCTCAAAGCAGTGAATCAAAATCTCCAGAGGTGGGGCCGGAGAAACGTGCATACTTCCAAAAGCGCTCCAAACGACTTCTATGTAGTGTAGCCCACCTCTCACCCGAGACCACTGACGCGCACCGAGGCTCCGGGCATTTCCCGCGCAGCTGGGCAAGATGGGGAGACCGAGGCCCAGCGTTAGCGCTCCCGCCTTGGGTCAGCCCGGTTTTGCCACGTCCCCGCCAAGCCCGACCCGCCCGGCCACCCGGTCCCAGCGCTCACAGATGGGGATGGCAGACACGATGAAGGCGTTTCCGAAGAAAAGCGCGGAGGACTTGGCCGAAAGGTTGCGGCTGAAATCCTGCAGGAGCAAATCTTCCTCGGATTGCTGCTTAGAGCCGCCCTTGGGAGCCATGGCGGAGCGGGAGCCGAGAACCAAGAGGGCCGGGCCGGGCTCGAAGCCGGGTTTGCAGCCTTGGAACCACCCCCGCGGCCGCCGTATCCGCTAACGACCCGTCAGCGCTGCGAGCAAAGGCGGGACCCGCCTCGGAGCGGAGCAGACTGTCCCATGATTGGTCAGTCTGGCGCCAGTACGTAACCTTCCGGGCGTGATTGGACAAGTGGGCCAGACTTCCGGATTCTTGATGATCCACGTGATGATTCTTGTTCGGGTAAAAAACAAGGGAGTTGTAGTTTAGTTATGTTTTGTTTTTTTTAATGAACAAAACTTTATTGATATGCCATTTCACGACTGCTAACGAATTGACGCTTTCCAAATCTCTGGAATCCGTGTTACATATTCATTCATTCATCAGAAATTACGGTTAGTATTCTCTGTGTGTACTCGCACTTGAGGGGTTGGAGGAAAGGATTACGATAGCTGATGAGCCCTTTCTCTTTTTGTTCTTATTAGTGCCTTCCAGTCGGTACCGATTCATAGCGATCCTATAAAGGGCTTGGTGGTGGTGGTTATGCGAGGCTTTAAATCTTTACGGGAGCAAAAGCCTCATCTTTTATCGTGGACCCGTTGGGCGAGCAGCTGGTGGGTTCAAACTGCGGACCTTGTGGTTCGCAGTCTAGTAGTTATCGAATGGAGCCACCGGGCTCTCCCTTTCTCTTTTACACATTCATTATTTACACACTTACTCCGCCAAACCCTAGACATGCATTTCCTTGTTCCCATTTTGCCAGTGAAGAATTTGAGGATGAGAGGCCGGTGTGCTGGTTTCCAAGGCTGGGTCTTTTCACCAAAATAATTGGCTAACTTGTCCGAAAAAAGAGGCATGGGCTCACTGCTGTTGAAAATAATACTTAACATGTGTAAAACACATTTACAAATTATTGTTGTTAAGTGCCGTCGAATAGGTTCCGACCCATAGCAACCATGTATAGGGTTTCCGAGGAACACGCGGCTGGTGAGCTTGAACCGCTGACCTTGCCGTTCAAACCGACTTTGCAGTCCAGTACATTTATAAATTACTACCATATTAGTCCTGGTATGGCGCTGTGGGTAAATACGCTGAGCGTTCAAGCTCACTAGCCGCTCCTCAGAAACCCTATACAGGGTTGCTATGGGTTGAGTAACTCAATGGCACTTAACAACAACAACGACTATATTATTACCTTTATTCTAATTAAAGGCTCATAGTGGTGTGGCTTCCAAAAGTATGCTAAAGAATTTTCACCTTCCATTTGGGGGCCACAGTTGCAATCCACCAGTGCACATCATGTTCAGACAGCACCATCCACCAGTGAAGGCTGCCTGTTGCTAGGAGACTGAGTTGGTTTTAGACAAGCCATACTGAGAAAGAGTAGTAAGAAAGGCCTAGTAATCTATTTCTAGAACTAACCAATGAAAATCTTATAGATCACAGCAGTCCAAGCCACAATCAAGGGGATTGCACAGGAGTTGCCAGTGTTTCATACCATTGTTCATGAATCACAATGAAACCTAGGGACTGGAGGGAAGCTAGTCCTCTCAACACATTTGTAGATATCTTTCTTCCTCACCTTGGCTAAGTTGTAATCAACCTCCATCTTAACTGAGCTTTCCATCTTCAGTCTTTCTTAGTTTATTCTCTACACAGGTATCAGAGGGAGCTTTCCTGAAATGCAAATCTTCTATTGTCTATAGCAAGTATTCCCAAATGCCAGAAATTGTACCAATTTACAAGGAGATGAGAGGAAAAAGAATAAACCATCTAGTGCATTTTTTCAGAAAACTTAAAGTATTCATTTAAAAATATCTAATGGCAGACAAGGTTTTAAGTGATGGTAACAATGTTGGTCATAGAGGAAGCCACACACCTGGAGTTTCTGACTCCTGCTATTTTTCAACTTTAATAAAACACTGCACAATGGGATGTGGGCTCTAACATTCCAAACAGCCACCTAAGGGGGTAGATGACACAACCCAGACTACAGAGGAGTTAATTCTTCATGAAGTGAACTCTGACCATTGTAAATCAGGAGATGAATCTGGACAAAAACAAACAAAGAGCAAAAAATTCTCCATTTTATGACTATCTTAGAGCATAGTTTCTCCATTATGCCTGACCAGAAACACCCTGTGTGCAGAACACCTGCCAGGTGATCTAGTATGTGCTTCACAGTTCATCACAAAGCATTAGCCACAATGATGATGCATCATTTTGTGTTACTATGTATCTGTTACCCTATTCCTCATTCTCAGTTTTGAGGTTTGCACTTGAAAAAAGGCAGCCATACTTAATCCTTGTTTCAGATGTACTCTAAGAAATCGGGACAAAAGACATACTGTTCCCCTTCTTGTGAAGGCATTTAGACTACCCTTCCCAGCACCCTTTCACATAAATATAGCCATGCTTTTAATTTTGGGTAAATGGAATAAAGTTAAAAATCTTGTATGCCTCTTATGGAAACTCCCACACCATCTTCCATTCAATGTTTTCCAGTATCTACCAATGGAGTCCTAGTATGGTGTTGTAGGATTAACACTACACCACAAGGTCAGTTCAAACCACGGTTCAAATTCGCCAGCCACTCCTCTAAAACCCTATACAGCAGGGGTTATTGTTGTTGTTAAGTGCTGTAAAGTCAGTTTCGACCCATAGCGACCCTGTATAGGGTTTCCGAGGAGCAGCTGGTAAGTTTGAACCGCCAACCTTGCAGTTTAAACAGCTTTGCAGTCTGGTGCATTAACCTATAAAGCCATATACAGCAGGGGTGGGGAACCCTTTTTCTGCAAAAATTTATAACATCTTTCATGGGCCATACAAAATTATCAGCTTAGAAATTAGCCTGCTGTATTTAGTCAAAAATTTCATTAAGTCACCCCTAATGTGATGGCTAAGGAGCTCTGGGAGCATAGTGGTTACAAACTACCAGCCATTCTGTGGGCAAAAGATGAGGCTTTCTGTTCCCATAAAGATTTACAGCCTCGGAAACCCTGTGCAGGGTCACTATGAGTCGGAACCGACTACATGGTACGTAACAACAACAACAGTGTGATGGCTGGAACTGCACTTGCTTTGGCAGAGCCAAACCAAATGATTTTGCAGGTATAGCACCATAGGATGAGCACTCGGCCTCAAGGTTGGTTTGAACTGCAAGAGGTCAATGGTTCAAACTCCGCAGCCACTCCTCAGAAACCCTATACAGGGTCGCTGTGAGTCAGAACTGACTCCACAGCACTTAACAACAGCACATATGTTGTTATTGTTGTTGCTAAGTGCCTTCAAGTTAGTTCCGATTCATAGTAACCCTGTATACGGTTTCCAAGGAGCAACTGGTGAGTTTGAACTGTCCACCTTGTGGTTCAAACTGATCTTGTGATCCAGTGCTTATCTTCCTGGTTGATTTTACAGAAAATGGACAGACTTCTATTTTGTCAGGTCACTGAGAATTCAGTATTTATTTGTTATAGCAACAAGTAGTATTGAGTATTTTCTTAACCAACACAGAAATTGGTACTTTAAAATGTGGCCTACTGTAATAAATAACTAGTATTGGTAGTATAACAGGGAAACAGTTATTCAGGGCTGAGAAGATGATGAAGACCCTGGCTGTGCAATATCAAAGCATGTTTTGAAGACTGTAAGAATTTGACAGTCAGCCAAGTGCCTACTGAGCACAGCTCTGAGGATGAGGTTAGACAAGGGAACGTTGCCGTGTGTGCTGCGTGTTGCTAATTGTACTAATCAGGATGTTAGAAGGAAGCAATGAGATCAGGCAAGAACCAGTTGTTTGCAAGCTGAAATGGAAGCATAGAAATTAAATAAACACGAAAATTGTATCTGAAAAAGGACTAACTTTAGCTAGCAGTCCTGGTGTGGTGCTGTGGGTTACTGTGCCAGACTGCAAAGCCATATGAACTGCAAGGTTGGCAGTTCAAGCTCACCAGCTTCTCCTCAGAAATCCTATACAGGGTCACCATGGGTCAAAATCGAATCGACAGCACTTAACAACAACTACAACAACAAGATTTACACCCTCGGAAACCCTGAACAGGGTCGCTATGGGTCGGAACCAGCTCAGCGGCACTTAACAACAACAACAAAAGCAAACAGGAATCCTAGTGTGGTGCTGTTGGTTAATGCACTGGACTTCAAAGACCGTTTTGAACAGAGAGGCCTGCGGTTCAAGTTCACCAGCTGCTCCTTGGAAACCCTATACAAGGTCACTATGGGTCGGAACCTGACTCGACAGCATTTAAGAACAACAACAACAAAAGCAAATTATTTATATCAAACACCTACTAAGTTTTTGAGGAAATTTTATTAAAAAAAAATAATAACCTGCATTAAATAAGACTTCAACCTTAATTCTTAACCTTAAAACAAATTTACGTCAGCAGGACACAGACTTCAAAAACTGTGCAGCTTTCCTAGGTGGGCACACTTCCTCATATAAACCCATGGAGAGCAATGGATAAAAATGGAGACAACAGGGGTCACATAGCACGGGGGGCCAGAGCTTATCACCCAGAGAGCAGAATCAAGTTCTAATCAAGCAATTTCCTCTCTTCACAGCATAAGCGGCCTCACAATGCACACTCAATTTCATAATTGTCATCAGCCAGTGACTGCTCTGTGTTTCCTATTTTCCCTTTTCTGAATAGAAGTTATCTTCTTTATTTTTTTTAATGCTTTATTGTGAATTGTGTGATAGTTTTCATTAGTTACACATTCATCCTATCATACATTGTTTCATTGCCATGGTTACAATCCCCTCCATGCATCATCAACCAACCAAAGGGTATACCCTGCAAGCCTGAGCCCAGGTTATCAGCATACAGCCCCTTTCCCTCTCTGGGTCTAAAGTCCCTAGCCACTCCATCTCTCCATGTCATCATCTCTGCCTCCATCTCTGGTGTCACTGCTTCTCTGGATAGGGTACCACTCTCTGTTCTTCTCCTTTGATAGTCCCAGAGACCTCAACTTCTAGACTGCAAAGTTAATCACT